CGTGTTCAGCTCGCTGGATCGGCCACACGCTCCTCAGGTTCTCCAGCAGTCTTACATTTTCCCCTCCGCCATTTCTACCATGGAGGCCACGCTGACTGAAAAGGGCATCACCAGCCGCCATCTGCTCAGTAAGTGCTACTCGGTTATATTGCTGTTTTCTGTGGTTTTTTGGCTTTTAGTTATTACATAATATGTTAGAAATAAAAAGTATTTTCAGCACCGGGCTGCCCTTTTGTAATATGTTTGTTTGAATTTGCTTTGTCATAGTTGGCTTGCCGTCTGGAGGGATTTTGTCATTACCAAAGATGTTCCTCGACCCACGAAGGCCAGAAATAGTATCTGAGCAAAGCCGGTCAGTCCTCAAGTCAGGCTTAGTGTGAAAATGAAAGTCAGATTTTTCTTTACTGTTATGTGTCTGACTTGTTAACTTGATCTTCAGTGAGGAGAACCTGATACCCTATGCTCCAGAGCTAATGATCCGTACAGAGTGGTTTATCAACTACAATCAGAGTATATCAAGAGTGCAAGGTATTCACACTTCCCCGTCTGGACTGGAGTCAACCTGCCTGGTAAGTCTGCCTTCAAAGTAATGAAAAGCACATGACAGCACAGTGTAAGATTAAAATAAAATGGTTTAAAAATCATTTACATCACATATATTTAGTTTAAAATGGTACAAAGACAACCTATCAAATGTTGAAATGAAGAAATTTTATTGGTTGAACAACACACTCATCGGCCACCGCACTGGGTCACCTGTTCAACTACTTGTTTAGATAAACATCTAATAAGCCAATCACATGGCAGCATTGTAATGCTCAAACTGAGCATCTTAATGGGGTAGAAAGGTGGTTTAAGTGGCTTTGAATGTGGCATGGTCACAGATAATAATCTGAAAAACAAAATATCCAGTGATCAGGAGCTCTCTGTGTGAAAATGTCTCATTGATGTCAGAGGTCAGAGGACAATGGCCAGAGTGGTTTAAGCTGATAGGAAAGCAACAGTAACTCAACACATCGAACTTTAAAGGAGATGTACTAAAGCAGGAGTAGATCACACCAGGTGCCACTTGGACCAGAATCTCTGAGCAATGTTCCTGGCACCTTGTTGAATCTGTGCCATGAAGAATTAAGCCAGTTCTGAAGGCAAAATGAGGTCCAACATCGTACTAGCAAGGTGTAACTAATGAAGTGGTCAGTGAGTGGATATAACATGTAACTGTGGCAATCGGAGCATGTTTAATATCGTGTTGCATCATTTCTTCTATGGGGTTCATAACCGAGGGGAAACAAACGCTGTTGTTTTAAAAGTGAAGTGTTTTCCCATCCTTGGTAGATATATTGATTTCAGCTGCTCAAAAGTTAATGGCGTACTTTACTAGAGTTGTGATCCTGAAATAATTGATACATTCCCTGGAAAAAAGACTCTGGGCATGTTGCTCTGAGATTTTCATATCATTTAGTGCACAAGCTCTGTGCACGTTTTCTCCAACCGTATTACCAAGCTGTGAGCCGCGCACTAAGAGCAAACCCACTGGTCCCTTTTTAAGCCTGTAGTATTCCAGGTTCATGGTTTCCAAAAATATTTTCATAGTTTGATTTTTCATGCCACTGAGCAGTTTTTTTCCACTCTGCCTCAGTCCATCTTACATGAGCTTTGGCCTCGCAAATGTCCTGGCCCCTGCGTCTTGTTTATGTTTGGGGTTTTTTTTGCACATAGTGGAGTTTTAACTTGTTTTTGTGGACGCAGCAAGTGAACTATGTTCAGTAGAGCTCATGCACAATTTTCCACAATGGAATATTGTCTTGTTTTTTAACCAAAGCTTGGCTATTCAGTATCTGCTTTTGACTTTCTTCCCCACTTACAAGGAATTATTTGGATCCTTTAATATCATCTGCCATAGATGAGAAATTCCCCCAGTTTAAATTAAATTGACAGTGGTTTTAAAAAACCGTTTGCCCACTCAGTCTCTGTCTTTCGCAAATGGTGAAATCCTCGTTGGTTTTACTTCTGTGAGGCTCAGCTTCTCTAGGATGTTTTTTTTTGTATAGCAAATCATGTTACTCAGTAACCTAATTAGTTGTGAGAATGTTCCACCGGATCTTTTTTTTTTTTTTTTTTTGGTATAGCATTACGCAACTTTTCCAGTCTTTTTTTTTTTTAGTTTTTTTTTTTTTGCCCCTTCCCCGTGTTGCTGACGTCAAATTCAAAATGAGTTCAGAACATTTTTTTTCTTGTTTACCGTCCAATTTAAAGCATCTTCAAATCATTGCATGTACATTTTCATCACATCACTACTATTTGGAAACAGGGCTGTAGATGATTCCTTATTTGGAAATGCATTGCCACCACTTTGTTTTCCTCCCCACTTAAATAAAATCTTAATATGACAATTTTATTTTTTTTTTTAGGTTGTGGCATATGGTCTTGACATCTACCAGACACGTGTGTATCCCTCGAAGCAGTTTGACGTACTGAAAGATGACTACGACTACATGCTGATCAGTAGCGTGCTTCTTGCCCTTTTCTTTGCCACCATGATCAGCAAACGCCTGGCAGAAGTTAAACTGCTCAACCGGGCTTGGCGGTAAGGCGACGGTTAAAATCCTACATCTGCCAGCTCTGTGGCTGCACGAAGGACCTCGGCTCCAAGAGATGAGACCGCTGAGGCCGTGCCTGTCCAAGAACACAGGTCAAAGTTCAATAAGGCCCATAAGGAACTGCAGGGGTGAGGGGACAGTGGGGAGGGGGTGAAATGAGGGGTTAGCAAAAAGTTTTTGTGTTTATTTTTTAACTTATTTTGCAAAAATGAATTATTTCATAGTAGAATAATTGTTCTTTTGTGAAATGTCATTTCGATTAAATGTTTAACACAGCTAATTATGAACCGATAAAACCGGCCAATTTATTAAACTATGGAGCTTGAAAACTTCTGCTCATGTGACAGTTATTTTAGTTTTCCTGGGCCTTTTTTTGTTTTTGTTTTTTGAGACATTTCTGCATCACTGGACTGATCTTAATATAAAGCGATAACAAATGTGGAGCTGAGGGAATAGTCAGGAGAAATGCGTGAATGTGAGCATGAACTCGAACAGTACCATAGTGGAAGGGTTTGTTGGGTTTTTTTTAGCCTGCTGAATCACCTTGATACTCCAGTCCCGTTTGGATTGTTGGCAAATGAGCTGTGAATATGAGCTGTGAGGTGATAATGTAGCATGTACAAGAAATGGTTTTTTTGAGATGTCTGAAAACCACCAAATGAACTGTTACACTGTTGCCACCATCACATGATGAACCAAGGGAATGGGAAGAGACAGTAGCCTTTCTTTTATGTACATCTCTCATCTTGTAGCTCATACTTTTATGAGAAATTTTCCACATAGCTACTGTTGATGCTCCATTAAAATTTCTCCCAAAACTCCATTCTGAGCGCTTTAGTTTGTTGTTGTTGTTGTTGTTCTTCTTCTGTTAGCTGCTCCTTTTAGGGTTCGTCACAGCTGATCATCTGCCCCCATCCACCTATATTCGGTCACACCAACTCTCTGCTTTTGATTATTATTATTATTATTAGTATTATAGTATTATTAGTAGTGTTATTATTATTAGTTCAATATTCCAGATGCTTGTGACATGATCCACTCTAAATAACAACATGTGCTTTTTTATTATGTAGTGCCTGAAAGTTCAATTAGACATGGGATGGCAGCCTGGTTTCATCCTAATGCCATAAAAATATATATGTTCATAGGTTTCTCAGTTCCTCCATAACAGATCGAGGACTCATGGGAGAGATATATTCCCCACCTGGCTTGGGATGAACTCTGTATGAACTGCAAGAGGTGACCAGGGTGAGGGAAGTCTGGGCTACCCCTGCGACCTGAACCCAGATTATAGATGGATGAGACAAAGTTTATCTTATCTTGAAAAAAGGAGGTCAAACTTGGAGAAAGCTCTCTATATCATAGCTTGAGTGTGGAGAATGAGGCAATCCTAGAATGAATAAGTTATTTATTTCTATAAATAGATTAAAGACAATTTTTACAATTGACACAGAATTATGAACTTACAAACAGCCTTTGAATGGGCCAAGTCTGATACAGAACCTTCATGAGAACTTCATAGAGGTTGGTGTAACAAAGGTAAATGTGGGCCTGCACCTCAGCAGTGTAAACGTAACATGACTTCCATGCCCACACAGTAAAAAAAAAAATTATACACAACATCAGATTTACATCATTAAAAATTTCATGAGGATCAGCTAATGACAATTTTTCAGCTCTATTTACAAATGCAACAAGTAAAAACTTCTGACTTGCTCTTCATATGTTTAAAGACCTGTGAACATAAGTGTGACTGCAGGTTTTCAACAAAGTTTCTAATGAAAATGAATTAGAATCTAGCTTTAAATACACACTGATTAAAATGAACAAATTGACACTTTAAATGCAGATGCTGAATTTTCTGTAGTTAATGTAGTTTGATGTAAATTTCTAAACTTTGGGAGTGATAAGGCTATCTTATCTCAATCAGCTTTGTGATACAGAAATCATAAGCTAATTCAAAAGCGCAAACACCCAATATTAGCTGCATCGAGTGTGTGTGTGTGTGTGTGTGTGTGTGTGGGGGGTGGGGGTGATCTAACATGTTCATTTGCAAATTTACTATAAAATTTGTCAAGAATCTTTAGACTTGCACTTGGCTAATTCTTTATAATCTGGTATTTTTTAATGGAGCACTTTATTAAGTTTACCTGAAAAGATGCTAAAATATTCAAATAGTACTTTAATTATTTGGAAAAACATCAAATCTATCAACACATTATATTTTTCAAGCAGCATTGTGATAAAAAATAACAGACGTGGAACAGTTTGGCACAAGCCCAGCTTGTACATTTATAAAGACGTGCTCTCTTGTAAGGTATATGTTGCATAGCTAAGGCTGTTTTTAGTGGTATGAGCATACGACTGTCAGACTTTAAAAATTTATAAGTGATCATACTATTTTTTTTTTTAGTAAGGAAACGGCAGTATCTTAGTTATCAAAAACTGACAAATGGTGATAGAAAATAAATATTTGTTCTCTATTTGTGAAAATACTATATTATTGTGTATTGTCGTTGTGGTCTAAGTAGAAGAGACATCTCTAAAATACTGATTGGTAAAATGTTCAGTCAAAAAAACCTTGTGGATATTACACCAAACACATGTCAGTCAATGAAAATACCAATACATTACACATGTGAGCAGATATTATCGCACACTGTACAGTTGTGTATCACAGAGTGATTAATAACGTCAGTCACCGTTTTGTACTCGTCTAGTTTCAGACATGGTGAGATGATTTCTACCTTTTCTGCCAGAAGCTGCTGTTCCCTGTCTTAGCAGGTTCACTCAGGAGTCTTTCTCTTCTCTCTGTGTTTGGCGGTCGGCCCGGCGGCAGCAGGATGTAGTGTGTCCCGCTGGCCTTTCTGCCATCCTTCAAAATCGGAACAATGCAGGGAGAAAACTGGGTTGCAGGTGGCTCACCTGTCATCTGTCTCAGCAACGCCTTGCTGACATATTTGGGGTTAGCAGCAAAACTCTGAGTGGCAGGCATCACTCCATTGATATAAATTGGAAGACTTTTAGGGCTTGGGGTGCGTGGTGGACAGGGTGGGACTAAAGGCACCCTAGGAGGGATTTTGGGAGGTTTGTCTTCATCGGTCCCAGTCTTTGATTTTGGTGGGATGGGGATACGAGGAGGGATTTGTGGCCTGTCAGTGGACCATGATGAGGTGCTGGCGTGTGGTTGGGTGGAAGGACCCGAGCCAAAAAATTGGATTCTAGGTAATAGGTTCTGGTCTGGCCGTTTGGCTCCAAAGGTATCCTCAGCTTCCGACACCACAGGCTGGTTTTCATCTGTCTGGTGACCAAGGCACCAAATGTCGGCCGCAAACCTGCCTCCTCCAAATGTTGGCCGGTCCTCTCTGCTTGGCCAAGAGAATGCCATGGATCCAACGCCAGCATCTCCAGCCCTCAATGAACTCTCTTGGTAGGCATAATTTACTTGGCCAAAGTCTTTGCTGCTGTTCCTGCAGATAGGCTTAGGGCAGCTCTTGGGCAAAAGGGGCCGTCGGTCACTGGTAAAGAACTCAACCTCACTATCAGCTGCTTCATCTGACATAAGCTCCTCGGGGTCTGGCAGAGGTGGCAAGGGTTTGGCCTCCCTCTGATCAACCCCGAACACTGCCTGTCTCTGGGAAGAAGGAACCACCTGGTCTCCCTCAATGGGCAGCAGCATGTTGTCTGATGCTAGGTGGTAGGAATCAGAAAAAAATGGAGGCTGGGAGAGAGAGGGGTTGGCTGCGGAGAGAAAAAGGGGCAAAAAAAGGAAATGTGTTAAAACAGCTGGCACAAAATGCTACGTTTGCTTTTATACTGAGAAAGCAAATTGTTATGTAAGGCTTTGCTATCGCTGTTGTCTCCTCCAGTGCAGAAACAACACTCAGAGGAAGAAACATGGAAAACAACTTGCTGCCCAACCGCCTTATAAAAACGTACTTACTGAAGATACTGTACAGGAAACGGGAGTAAAAACATCCTGAAAACACCAGCTTAACCTATCGCCTTCTTCGTCAAACATCAGCCACAACACCCTGATTAACACGGGAATCGTCATTATCTGCAGGGCAGGCCACAATCTTAACTGAGCTTCCCATAACCTTCTCTGTGGAAACATCCGACGTGCCCCAGACTGCAGGAACAGCTGGTGACTGGGGAGCGATAGCTTCCCCTCCTCCTACACCCCGATCTCTTTCCTCTGGTACACAGCTTAGTACTGTGATGGCAAACTCACTTGCATCCTGTCTAAATACTGTTCTACTAGACAAATGAGGTTTAAAGGGTTTTTTTTTCTCTAATAAAAAAAAGTGCATAACTTCACCTAATTTAACAAACATAACTCTTCACATCCTTTCAAAATTTCAAAACAATGAAAAAAAAATTGCCAGAATTTCTACAATTTACAGTAATAGCAGATACATACTGATAGTGTTCCTGATACATACGAATTCAAAGCAGAGGAGCTTTGATAAAGTTCATGCATCCATGCTAAATCCGTTTCCTTCATACATGTAACACTAATATCTGAAAAAGACTCACAGTTAAACTCGTTGGCCATTTGCTGTTGCTGTTGAAGCTCCTTCAGGGTTTGCTCTGTGTAAGCCCTCAGGCCAAAGCTCTGCACTCTGCAAAGCAGGACAGGTTGAGAAATCCATACAGAGCTGTGCATGATGGTAAATCATTCCAAATCAGTCATTATAAGACGAGCCTAACAAATGCATTAACAGAACATATGTTCAGTTGTCCTTTTTCTATTTGCATTATAAAACAGTAACAAGTTACTGGATTTCTTTTCTGAGCCAGACTCTGTGTCTATGATTGCCAGACACTGTTATTTAGTTTCATATTATCTTGCTATATACATATATTATAATCCTGCATGACTACATGTAGTTGCTCATGCTAACATTTATCCCTTCTCTTATATTTCTCTTTTTTTCCTGCTCAGATTTACATGCTCAACATTTTGCAAAGCTGCCACAGATTCACAGATAATAATAATAATAACAGATTATTTACATTTTTCAAAAAAAATTAGTATTAGGACTTGTGTAGTGTTAATGGTACCTGTTCAGGTCATGCTGTCTCCACAAATTATTCTGACTCCTGGCCATGATGTAGAAGAGATCGTGTTCTTATAAGAAGCTCTGTTTGATATCGATCTAAAGCTCCAACACAAGTCAGCTCCGTCAAACCCATCACAGCTTCATTCTAGCCAGTGGTAAGCTGTTGAAGAAACACTGACATTAGAGTGCAAGGGGATTCATCTGGCTATCTTTTACATTCACATCTGGCTTTTGCATTACATCACATCATTCAGGTCACACCTTTGCTGGTGTGAAATGCCCATAAGCAGGGTACAGCTGGATCTCATCACCGTCCATCACACTCAGCTGCACGTTCTTATCTTACCAGGCAAGGCAAAAGGCAGCAAACAATACAAGATAACTGCACATACACAAGCATACAGCATATATTACAGACAGATGGACTACTTCATGAACATTGTATATAAAGCAAAGTATTTTACATTGAATAAGTAACATATAACAAAGTTCAAAGGATGTAACATTTCATGACATTCTTTATGTTTAATATGTAGATTTGCAGGATTGTGAAAAACATTCATATCATTCACATTTCAGTGTAGTAAAAGTATCATTACACAACTATATCCAATAGCTTTTTCCTATTCTCAAAAAGGTTATGAAAGCAGGGCAAAAGAAACGTTTACATTTTGAACATATGCCACTTTTCACTAGACGCAGTAAACAAACGACTTGCGATACCCCGCATGTTTTAAGTGAGCCTTGAGGAAACAAGAGTAACAACAAAAGCCAAGAAAATTGCTTCAGCCTGCTCTCTCAGCCGCCATATGTATCCAGTTTAAAGCTATTTGTCTGATGAGCAGGGTATTACACAACCTCTGGGTCAGATGTGGGAGGGCGACAGTACTCCTGCACCCTCCTTCGTCTCTGTGCAACGCTCCAGTATCTGCCCTCACAAAAGGGGCTTATTGTCCAGAATTCCTGTGATGCTGGATGACAAACTCCACCGCTGAGACGGCCCCAAAGCACTGCGATTATAGATGCACTTGAAGTAAGATTTAGTTTAAGTCTGACAGGGTCACAAGCCCTAACCTTGTTAGCCTACTGGCTGAGAACAAAAGTGCACTTAAAAAGTGGCACACTGCGAATGACTAGGAAATGTCTTACTGTTAAAATATTTTAAGGGGTTAAGGTGAGAGAGAATTTTGTGCAGACAGGCAAAGCAATGAAATAAGTACAAAGACTGTACGTGACATCCATGCTGATGATTAAGATTCTCAACTAGCACATATCTATAAAGATGATGACTGTTTCTCCTGATATGATGCACAGCAACTGATATCATTCCAGGGCGATGGACACTTGTATCAGGGCAAAGGTGAAGGTCATCCTGGGTTTTTTTTTTTATGATAGATGATGATGTCAACCTTGCTGTTGCGGTTTTGGCTTACGGTCAGATGTGCAGCTCAGGTTAAGCAGACCATCAAACAACTGAAGGAGTTTAAAACTGAGTGGTGCCCCTGTGTCTTCCCAGCAGTGACGCAGCAAAGCACCCAGCTGCATTGACTCAATGACATACCTCTAAATCTTTGTTCTCCCCATATATTGTACTTTACATATTTGTGCTTCTTCTTGCATTGAAAGCAACATTTAGAATTCAAATACAATACTGTGCTTATGCAATGAAATAAAAAGACCCATTTCACATTAAAATGAAAGCACCACACTGCCTGGAGGGCAACCCAAGGTCTCCATTCTACTATCACTGCAATCTTTCGCTTCAAAGACCTGCTTTGTTTCCTGTCCATGATAACTCCAATGCCGAAGTGGGAAGCAAACAATGCAGAGCATGCAAAGGAAACCCAACTACAAACAAAACAGTGACTCAAGCGTGGATTTGAATATTAATGCTATCCTTAAAACAACCAACTGTGGCGTCATTTCCACCCGTGAGCCTCAGAGATGGAAGACACAGACTAATTATGAATTCTACCGGCAATTACTCAGTGTCCATGAATGGAGCCACTCTCGGGCATGAATGGGCCTTTGTACCACTTTGGTGCACAGCGAAGCAAGCCTGAAAATACAAGTAAACTCTCCCATGAGGTTAGGACTAGAGATACGCCATGGAGACAAGCTGCCACGGCCAAGGTATGAGTCTGTGCCACAAAAAGTCCCCTGCGGGGGGGACTGCGTGTGTTGGCACAGTTGGAAGGACAAGCCAGAGGCTGAAGAAAACAGTTTGTTTAGTACATGCAGGGTCCTTGGTGTGTTGTCCTTGGCAGTCCCCACCTCAACTTTTTTTCAGGCAATAGACCATTCAGTGACCGGGCCTTCTTTAAGCACGAGTTGATTATCCTGATGGCGTGAAGTTTGCACCTTACACACACATACATACACACTAATTAAGTCTGCTAAGCTGTGGGACTAACTACAACACTGCGCGCCACAAAACTAAACAATAAAGCATTTGATTCAATGAGAGAAACCGTTTTAACAACAAGATCCGCAGCCCAAATACAAGTTTATTCACCAAACTAATCTAGGTTCAATGTGTGACTGCAGCTTTCAAATTTTTTTTTTTACATTGTACTAACAAACCAGACCTTTAGATTTATCTGCGTGTACTGATTTTTAATGGGTCACCAGGCGAAGCCCATGCTGTAAATGTGACAGTTTAGTGCAGTTCATTAGATCCTGACATTTCCACCGTTTAACTTCATTCACCTGGGGAATAAAAGAGGCATATGAAAAGATGTTTGTGATGATATTTAACTGAAAAAATGCAGTTTTAGTACTTGCTTTTTACTTACAAAAAATATATTAAAAAAATAATTAAATAAACGTGTTAAAAATCTTTTGTTGTTACATATCTAATATTGTTACATAATATTATATATGTAACAACCTATCTAATATTGTTACATATCTAATATGTAACAAGATGGTAGGTAGACTTTATAGTCTGCTTGCATGTCCGAAATGTTTTGTTTCTAATAAACTAAAGTCTAGATAGTGTGCAGAAAATGAAGATTTTCACATTTTTATAGTTTGAAAAAAGCACAACTCCACCTGGTCATGGGCCACATCGGCATGTAGTACATTTTCACATCATATGTAACTATTAAACTATATATTTATAGTTTATTTTATTATTATAATTAATTTCCATAACCCTTATTGTCACTTTCTGTTATTGGCCTTTATCGCACTCTATTCTTGATAACACCGAGTTATGTTTAACTCTGGGTCATGCGCTTTTTACTGTAAATTATTTTACATTATATTACTGAAGTCACTTTTTTTACACTTTTTGAATGATAGTTGTGAACCAATTTTGACTCCCTCATTTTATTTTATTTTTGCGCTTTAAATTATACGAAAACGTCAGACAGACATAGGATTACTGGTTTACTCTTTATCGCCTGCTAGTGGATGAAAATGGAAGTGCCGAGCAGTCCAAGACCTATCCCGCCTCGACGTGACTTCCCTCGGCGGACGCGAGTGAAATCCCTCAGTGAGTCAGAAGTACAGTGCGTTCCACTAGATAAATAACTTCCTCTAGCTGGTCTACTCACACAAATGTCCAGCTTACAAAATGCTGTCCACACACATCTGAACTATACAGGCTCTACTCAGAGAACAGACCTCAGTGATTTCTGACCGGCTCTTTTTCTTTTTTTTCGTGACGTCCCAGTGTGGAAAACACTCGTATACACTTAGTAACAGAGTAACATCCACATCACATACAACACAGCATCTGACCGTCCCGCGGTAAAGGCAAAGGCAACAAAAAAGAGCCAATATTCATCAGACAACTTTTATGAGAACGTGATGAGCCTCACCATGCAAATCCTGCTTATCCGTCACGTACAGCTGGTTTCGTTCGATCGCCCTCAGTCCCAAGCGAGAAATGACACTCGTGAGGCTAAAATCCAGTCTGTCAGTCAACCCTGACCCATGTGCATCGACCCTCCTCTGTCAACAACACTGGGAGGTGAAACTCATTTTGTCAGAGTGACGCGGGTTTCCACATCTCCTTATAAAAGAATCCAACACCCAGAACGCGTTACTGTAACTCCACCCATGGCTGCCTTAAAGGGGAAAAATGCCTGTAATTCTTTTTACATCACTCTACTAGGAAATGCACTGAATACTTTACTAAGTTTACTTTACTATTAGATTTTTTTAAATTTTAATTAAATGTATTTTTTGAGTATGTAGTTAGAACCCAATTCTGTCCAACATAGTTTTGACTCTATTAAATGTAACTGATAATCTGAAATTACTTTTCATATTACATTTTTACATACACATGATAATGTTATAAAATATGATTATTTGTTCTCAATTAAACTATACAAATCGTCTCCCTTTGACCAGGAATAACATTGAAATTGTACTTGCGCATTATGCTATCAGCAGTAATTCACGTTTCTCTTACGTTTCATCTCTATACTCCTCTGTACGGTTTTACTCACCTTCCTGAACTCTTCCGTCAGCTGCAGTGTGAATCTAACAAGATGTTGTTAACCTGTCTGCGCAACTTTCAGGTTTCAGGACACCATTCACAAAATCTATTTCCTTACAGTCAGTGGAACTAAGACTCTGTAGAGCTTAAGGATCTATGCTTAAATCTATTAAGCATTTCCCCTCCCATTTTATTACATCGTTTAGCCTACACTAAGTATGCCTCAGCAGGTCAAAAAGCAAAAATGTCCTTTATTTTATTTGTTCCCTGTAATGCGTGTACAGGAAATTGCATTTCAAGCAATTGTGGCCTGACTTGTGTGGGAGTCAGAAAGTGTGTGGGTGGATATTGGCGTGTGTACAACATAAGACTGATAAAGAGTTACAAGCACTAGATTGGCAGACCAGACATGAAGGATGAGGACTTGTTTTGAAGCCTGCATGTCACAAAAGAGTTGACTGTGTGTGTGTGTTTGTCCTGTGTTTGTCCTCACCCACGCTGAGAGAGGCAGAAGGACAATATGAGAGGCCATTTACCAGAAAATAACAGGGAAGTGAGTGCAGGCTATTCTTGTTTTCACCACAGGGTCCAGACCACACTGAGCTTACAGTCTTCCCCCAGACTGCCATCTGATCTTTTTACTGCAGTGACAGCACAAATAAATCCTTAGGCAAAATGACCCATCAAATATTGTACACTGTATAACCAAATCGTAAAATTGTAAGCCAAGTGACCCTGTAACCTTTCTTTCTTCCCTTGGTGCACATTGTTGAGTAGTTCCTCTGCTTGTACTACTCCAATAAAGCCCACATACAGTCATATGCGGATTAAGGAGTGCCTTATACCTATATACTGACTGTAAATCACAAACCCATAAAATAAATACGCCACATGTAACGTGCTTACATTGCTGCAATCATCAACCATCCCTCTCCCACTAACGTTAACTTGTTTGCTTAAAGGAATACTCATAGTTTCAACAAATAAGCTGTTATGTATCAACTTTACATTGTGCAATGTGGAATTTCAAAGTGACACAGAGATGTCCAGTCACACCACTGTCATTCAGCTGTAAACCAAGTACACGTTTTGTGTTACAGTTAAGACTGTAAGACTAACAATACCAAACTATATAGAAATTAAATATACCACCTGCTGTCCCTTCAAAATCAAAATCTTAGTCTAATCATCTTTTAATAAATTGCATAAAGATGGCCATGCAAAATTCAAAGTTTTTGCCACTTTTACCAGCAGCTCTGCTCTTGCTTTGCAGTCCTCTGTGGGCGCTTGTGGTGACCCAGGATGCTCAGGGCTGTGGGGGTTTTTGCCAGGGTGGGCCAGTCTCCCACAGGGGAGGTCAAGTCATTTCCTGCTCTGAGAGACCTCCGTCCCTCACAGATGTCAGTGCAGTCAGAAGCCCACCTTCCACATCTGCAGCACTCCACCTCCCAACATCCATATCAAAAAAGATAAAGAAGACTGCTTATTTTTAATGTTGCAAACATACATATATGTCAGACTTCGAGAGCTGGCCTGACTCAAATGCAAACTGGCAAAAAATGAGCAGGAATACCAGGTGGACTATGATACACATATGTGTGTGTGTGTGTGTGTGTGTGTGTGTGTGTGTGTGTGTGTGTGTGTGTGTGTGTGTGTGTGTGTGTGTGTGTGTGTGTAAAAATCAATTGTTCTGTGGAAAAGAACAGGATTAATGCAAGAATGAGTAAAAAGTACAAGATCATAATAAAACTCATCAAGACTTATGGTTATATTAAACTGATCTATCAGTTCCCCAGCTGTCTGAGAATAGAAAACTAAAACGATGAGTGTGTGCACAGCACAGCGCTTAACAGTGTCTCAAGTTGGAAAAGGAAATGAAGTAGGTAGGTGTTAACATATGTTTTCTATGGTAAATACATTCGTGTAGGTTGATGTGCTGACACGGTGACACAGGGAATTCTCTTATAGAGGAACCAGCTGTGTACAAACATGTAATAGCAATTAGAGCGCCGCTACAGGGCTGCTGTTTTCAAAGTCGTGGTTGACGTGTCTTGTGTTTAGGTTTCACATTCCTTGTTCCAGCGAATCTGTGTTAGAGGTTGTGATAACTACAGGCGCATATGGCGGCCATATTTATGAGCCGTATACTTTAAATATGTGATTGCATAAAACAATGTCCACTTGATGCTGCCATATGTGTAAGAGGTTAAAAATCAAGATTGTTCAGAGATGAGTAAACGATGGGTCACCAGAACTGAAAGAGCGTCGTCATTTAACTCTGGATTTGAGTTGCTGTAATTGAGAAAAAACAGAAAGATATTCTTATGAAATTCTCATATCTAGTGCATTGCACCCCTCTCTTGCCACCTACTACTTCCTTCAGCCTGATTTGTAATATTTATGTTTGATGCTTTACTTCAAAGTAGACGGACAGTGATTAAGAGCTGAATGTTGTGCTGCTGTGTGCAACGCTGTGTGTGATTTGAAACACACACCCCACACCTAGTCCTTGTTTCATTTAATGGCTTTACGGGTAGATCTGACAAGTTGGGAGCTGGGCTCCTCAAATGTCTGTGTGGGCTCACCACCACAGCCTTTGACCACATCTTAGCTTAGTTATCAAAGGAACAACAGTCATCAGGAGGAAGAGGAGGACAGATGGAAGAATCATGCCTCTGCTACCTTTTAATAATGGACAAATCTGGATGTGCACAAAGACTTCTGTGTAATCTAATCTGATGCTAAAGTGCTTTTTTTAAAAATAATAATAGCAACTGATATTTTCTGTGAATAAAATCCAGCTACAATGGAGCTTAATGGAGAGAGAAATGACACACAAACACACATAAATGAACACAGATTTCTTTAAAACACAGAACAAACAAACAATGAAGCAGCGTAGCTTTTCCCAGAGTACCAGCAGAGAAAAACAAAGCACAGTAAGCAGGCAAACTGATGGAGGAAGTACACCAAGGGATCAAGGGTTAAAGTGATTTAAACGCGGCAACATCAGATGTCATGGTGACAGTTTCAATGAATGGCAGAGATCTGAGCATGAAAGAAGAGCAATTCTTTTCCTAGGATACTGAACTGGACGCCTGGCCAGCTTTTCTACCCATTACATCAGGCCTCAGTGTGGGCAGAGGCTCTGCAAACCCAGCAGGAGGACTTCCGCAGCCCTGTGAAGTCCATCTCCAGTTCATTAAGAGCTTCAGTTGAAATGAGAAAAGGGAACAGAAGGCCGGAGGAGGCTCTGTGTAGAATCCAGATAAAAAGAATACAGAGAGTGCCTTGGACTGATCTTTGACCGTTATTTAACTCATCCGTGGCAGCTTTTCTTGATAAATCACACTTTTGCTGGAGTGGAAAAAAACATTTGCAGGCATCAATGCAAATTAGCTAACAAGGACATTTTGGGTAGAGAGAGGAGACACGAAGGCGCTGTCAATATTTGAATGTTTGCACAGTTTTCGCAACTTGTTCTGAGGTCGAAGTCTTTTTGCACAACTGCGTCATCCCGGGTCATCTTTAGGAGGACGTTGGAAACTAGTCAAATTTGGTCAAATTGTTGTTCTGATTATTTAGTGAGTGTGCGTGTGTGTGTGTTTGTCCACGTCATGGCTCTATTGAGTAGCAAGGCTGAGAAATGATATACGTATACAACCCACAGTTTTCCCCAGAAAGGCATGGTATGCTCTCTTATAGTCTGTTCCTTTCCCAAAAATTAACTTGGAGTCCTGAGGCAGTTTTCCTTTTTTTCCCCTCCTCCTCACTGTGTCTCTCCTCCCACTCCAGACCTCCTCCTTTTCTTCTCTCACCTTACTTACGCGCACTCCATCATTTCCTGTTGAGTCACAGTTAGGCTGCACCATGTTTTACATTTTATTAGTCCCCCTTTTTAAACTTTCCTCCTCCACTTCCTTGTTCACAAGATGGCTATCGTTTCAAATTGAGGGGAATGAAACAGCCCACAACAGCCTTCCAAGCAGCATTTTGGAAAAGTCAAAGCAGATGTACAAGTCTCTTCCTGGCAACTTGACTGATTCATACAGTAAATGACTTGGAGGATCAAAGGATTATTAGCTCTACGGATAATTCACCACCTCACTTGCCACAACATGTCATCAGTATACAGCATTAATGCCAAAAAAAGTTTCCAGCAGCAATGAAAAACAAAAGATGTAGCCTTAAGAAATTACCTTAAAGCATCAAACTGTCTGTTAATATTGATCACTGAGATGAATTACTTCCTTGGAAATTAAGTCCATATTGTGCCTTGGTATTTGAGTTCTTACCCTGGTCATTTGGGAGGAAGTGATGCTGTAGTGAGGTCAGCACTAGTGTTTAACATATTCAGTGCATGCCTGTGTGTTAGGCAGGGTTGAAGGCAGGGCTCTGAGAAATGAAAGGGCTCTGTGGTGGACCGGTTGAGTCATTCAGAAATACAGCTGCTGACTCAGTTTGCAAACTCGTCTCCAGAAGCACGTCGCCAGTCTATGTGGCATTATGTGTGTTTGTGTGCGTCCACCCTGTTCCTTTGAGGGACTAATATCTTGACTACGACATGAAGACAA